TTTTTTTTTTGTGGGGGCGGGGGTGTGGTTTAAAGTTTAGAGTATATACCTTGTTTGACTGACTAAATCATGCAACCACCATGATTTCAGCTGGTCTGTTGTTTAGCTGTGCTTAGCACTGTATAATGTATACAGGGCTACGGGCAACTCGAGCTTCTGGGCAACGCTCTACTTCGGTGGCGCCCTTCCGAAGCTGCATTTGGGGGGGCTAAGCTGGGAGGAGGTTTCAGATTGAGGGGAGAGGGTGGCATTACCCGACTTAAGCCCTTAAGCCTGCAAGCACGCGCTTCATCGAGTTTCCGATCCCAGGTGCAGAGTTTGAGTTTACCTTGGACGGTGTAGTGCTGACACTGACAGCCGGAATGGGCACGTAGCTGTCGAAACCATATACGGAACAGCCCAACCAGGCCGTCAGAAAAAAAATAGCAAACTCTGGGGAGGCGCCTTAAGGCAAATGCAAACTAACAAGCGGGATCTCTTCCTGCAGTGCCCTGCCCAAGTAGTTTTGATTTCTCACCGGGAGCCCTGCTCCTGTTCTGGTGTTCTTTTGAATTTTGCGCCTCGCATTCTTCCTCCGGCGGATCTCCAAGTGCGAAGCAAAGAACTGCAACCATCACCCGTTTCGCTTAACAGGCCGTTCCAAACTCGAAGTCCTGAACATTGCCTCAAACTACTTGTCTGCACTCCACACTGAACCGATCTGAAACCTAAACAACCCGAAACTTTGAACCCATGACGCTTGACAAAAACAGTGCTGACACCTAAGGGACATACATAAGCCTAGTCATGCAACCCGGCACGCGGAGAGCAGTCTGCCCAAAGCATGAACTTGTCAGTCCTGCCACCTTGCGACTTCCATCAGCCCCTAAGCCGTGGGTACCTAGACCATGCAAGCGGCACCCAACATGCTCAGACCGCATGAAATTCAAACAAACTGAAACATAATAGGGTGCCGGTAGAAACTACCTAGAGCGAAACCTAGAGCCTAGACCTTCATGTAGCCCCCTGATGAATAAGCTCCATATCTTAAGAGGGTGTTGTAACAGGGATCCTTCTTTTAAGGCCCTGATCTCGGCTTTTGAGTTGACCCGGAAGAAGCTGAAATTGGTTTTCATTTTGCAAATGCTTTCTAGGGTTTAGAACACATCCTTTGGCCGCCGCATGCATGCGTGGAGACGCCCTTCGGCGTTTGACTGCTCGTCTTTTCTGTGGGGCTTCGGCCTTCTTGAATAAAGCTAAACCCTAAACCCTAAACCCCTAAACCCTAACCCTAAACCCTAAACCCTAAAACTAAACCATTCATGAAAAGCCTATGGATCGGCGGAGGATGGTTTAAGGTGTTTTGATGAGCACACTTTCGAATAGATCGTGAAGCCCGAAGACAGCGATGGTGGTAGCGTCGCACACGATGCCGGACAAGCAAAATAACCCTTACGAAGAAGGGTGTCGCAGGCAGCAGGGCTTCCTCTTGTTTGAACTACACCATTTCAAGCCTTGAGCGTTTTGAGGTTTGGGCGCTGGAAGCCCTGAAGTCTGAAAGTTTAACGTGCTTGGTGGGGCTTAGGGCTTCGGGTTAGGCCTAAGGCCCTCAGGGTTACGAGTCTGGGTGGCAGAGCCTCTAATTTCTAGACCTTCAGCTTAGGGGGGTCTGGATGTTGGGTTCGTGGTCCTGCGGCTTAGGGGTTTAGGGTTTAGGGGCCTGTGCCGAAAAAGCTTGAAAGCTCGCACATACAGCCCAGGTTGATTCATCAGGGATCTGCATTGAAGCTAGAACCCTGACAGCCCATGAACCCGGGCCTTGACACTGTCCTGCAGCATGTGAATAAGCCTTAGCCAGGGCTCTGCGTAGGTTGGCGGCCACAGGGTTTAAGGCTTCGGTTTGGGGTATCTTAGGGCTTACGAGCCGAGGCTTAGTGTTTATTGGGCTCTACATGCAAACGGTGCAAAAACAGCGCATAGGCATCCATGGTTCCCTGCACACCCATAGCCAACCCTAAACCCCAACCCCCGAAACCCCTAACCCCAAACCCTTATAAACCCCAGCCCCAAACCCAAAACCCCGAACCCCTACACCCCAAACCTTAAACCCCAAAACCCCCAAACTCTTGGAAGGCTGAGAGGGTTTAGGGGATTACGGGGCTTTAGGGGTTTAGGGCTTAGAGGGTGTAGGGGTTAGGGGCTTGGGTTTCGGGTTTATAGGTGTTTAGGGCTATAATCAGATGCATTCATATACTCTCCCTTACGCCACGACTATCCTAAACCCAAGTACCCAACTATTAGATCCTAAACCCAAAACCCAAGTACCGAATTATTAGCCCCTAAACCTTAAACCCTAAACCCAAGTACCCCAATTATTAGGCTCTAAATCCGAAGCCCGAAACCCAAGTAATTACCCAATTATGAGGCCCTAAACCGGAAACCCGAAAACCTAAACCCAATTACCCAACTCTTTGGTCCTCAGGTCCACCGGACCCTTCGGGTAAACTTCAGCATGCCAGATCCCTTCTTTCTGCACGGCTGCGCGGCGCCAAGCTGCGATGGTCAAGGCTCCAGCCTTCTGCGGTCTACTACCGCCCAGCGAGCCCCGTAATTAAGGAATATGCCTTACCCATAGGCCCCTAAGTAGTTCTTTTCTATGGTTTATATTTAGAATCCTATAAGGTAACCCCAAAAAGGAACTACTTAGGGGCCTATGGGTAAACCATAATATTAAGGTCCCTAGAATTTAAGGTCTATTCCGCAATTAGGGAGTATTGGGCTCTCTGGACGTAGGGTCGAGGGTTTAGGGCTTCGGCATCCAGGTGTCAGGGTTTAGGATTTTGGGATCCAGGCTTCAACTGGGTCTGCGTATCCTGGACCCCTCAGACCGTAATCTCCATGTAAATTATATGTTGGGTCCTTCGCCTGAGTCACAGAGACCTTGGTGCTCCATACTCCGAAAAACCTTAGAAGATCTACGACACTGGAGCCCCTGATCCTCCCCAAGCCCTTCCTGAACCCGCGAAGCCTACATCCTGAGATGTCCTCGGAGTTTCTTCCGATGATGGCCTTGTGTACCGATTTTCTGGGGCTACAGGTAAGCCCTAAACCCTAAAACCCTAAAACCCTAAACCCTCGCGACCAATCCTCCTACGCCGATGTGGAAGGTCCCCCCGCGAGCAGCGTTCTGGAACCAGAAACGCCCCAGCGAATGAGTGATCCTCAGCTCCCGATCTTGTGAAACCTAAGCCCTAAACCCTATAAGCCCTGTTCGCCCGATAAACCCCAAAAAAACCCTATAATTAGACCTATAAACCCTAAAAACCCCGAACCCTAAGCAAACTGGCTTTGCGGCCCGGGTTTCGGTTTTGGGGCCCGTCGGGCTTTGGTCTGGGCGTTTGGCGCTTAGGCTTTGGTGTTGCGCACTTGGACTACAAGCGGGGGGTTTTAGGGTTGAGGGCTGAGGGTGCAGGATTCTTGGGGCTTCGACTTTGCGGAATCGCCACGGAGCCTCGCAAGCCTCCGAAGTTAATCAAGGCGATGGCGACTCATTGGCTCGAGTAGGAAGCCTAATGTACGTATGTACATGTATGCTAAAATTGCTGAATTGCTGCTTGGACCCTTGGTGGTCATAAGCTTACACAAAGGATGCTGGTTATGTCTCATAGGGTTCCTTCTGCCGGGAGCTGGCTCTAAAGTTGTAAAGCCCTCGAAGTGAGCCATACTTACCTCCCTATGCCCCATGGACCCCTAAGACCTTATAGGGTTTAGGGTTTAGGGTTTAAGATTTATAGGGTATAATCCCCTAATCTCCCTGCAATGCGCCACGAATCCATCTGCCAGCACGGCCACGAAGTCCCCGCTTGAAGCCTGGATTTGCTGCACGTTTTTCAGCTGCTCCTCCACGGCTCCGCAACGACCCCCATGCATCTCCGGTCCCCAGGTGACAACGGAGCCGTCACCTGAACTTTTAGACTGCAAAGGGGGCCCTATTATCAGAACCCTATTGTAGCCTGTACGGGGGATCTTAATGTATAATAGAACCCTATAGATACCCCTTAAAGGGTTCAGGGTCTAGGCATGGACAGGGCTGAGTACTTAGATTTAGTTGAAGGAAGAGGGAAGCAGTCTCGGGATGGCTTTAATGTCATCTAGCCCTGGTGGTTTAGGGTTTAGGGTTTAGGGCTTAGGGTTTAGGGTTTAGAGTTTAGGGCTTAGGTTTAGGGTTTAGGGCTTAGGGTTTAGGGTTAACGCAACCCAGAGGCCCAGAATGGCCGCAAAGGCACCACCAGAGGCTTGAATCTGCTGCACGTTCTTCAACCTTCCTTGCACCATTGTACCTGTGCGACAAGATCAAACATCAATGCGCGGACCTCAAACTTCTCTGTCACAAAACACACCGAGTGAAGCAACTAGACTCCGAAACGGTAGCTTTTCCTTCCCTACACCCTAAACCCTGTACCTTCTATTCGCCATGGTTTGGGAGTTCCACTGTCGCCTTGCGCCTGAGCCTTACTTCTGATTTCCCACTAGAATGCAGGTAAGATTGCTTGTCTGGGGTTTAGGGAGTTTAGGGTTGAGGGATTAGGGCCTGATTGGGGTTTAGGGATCAGGGTTTAGGGTTTAGGTTTTTGGATGAAGGGATTAGGGACTAGGCCCTAAACCCTAAACCCGAAACCCTGACCAGGATCTTGGAGCTTCGGTGCTGTCTCCGCCAGAACCAGGATCGCCCCAGGTTACGACAGAGCCGTCGGCACGGAGAGCTGCAAACGCTGCATGAGTGGCTTGTACCGATCGCACGTCCTTGGATCTCGAGATCTTCATGCCGTGTCATACACCACATCAGGGTCGAGGAATTCAGCATGCTCAAACCCCACCCCGCCGGAAACGCCGGAAATCCCTCAATCCGAAACCGAAACCCCTATACCTACCCATAGGCTCCTCAGTAGTTCCTTTTTGGGATTACCTTTTAGGATTCTAAATATGAACCCGAAACAGGAACTACGTAGGAGCCTATGGGTATGAACCCGACATCTCCCAGATCGAACGTCCTTCAGTTGATCGCGCACACCATAGCAAGATCCGCCTGCTCGCGGATCTCCCCAGGTCACCTAACGTAGGGGCCTTAAGAATTCGAGTAGGGTTTTGGGAGTATATTATACAAATTATTTATACTCTCATGCTATAATTCTAAGAAGGAACCCCCCCAAAATAGTATAGGTACCCTAAACCCTACATAAACCAACAAGGAACCCCCCAAAATAGTGTAGCTACTTATTCAGGCCCGTATATTCGTCGTTGTGAAGCACCTCTCGGGTGGTTTAGGTGCAGGCTCGGGAGACCTACAGCTCGGGGTTCAGGGCTTAGGGTTTAGGGTTTGGGAGTGTAGAGGTGTAGGGTTACGGTTTTGGGTTTAGGGGTTTAGGGTTTAGGGGTTTAGGGGCTTAGGGGTCTTGGTTGTTTGTTTTAAATACGTGCAATGGCCTCTTTTCCGAGGGTTTAGGGATTTGCATTTTGGGGGTTTTGGGTTTAGGTATTGGGACTGACCATAACTAGCCGGTGCACAGAAGCTCCACATGCTAGTCTGTTCTAGGCCTGAAACCGTACACTGTACTATTACCACGGTTATTATAATCATGATTGTTATTCTTATTAGTATTGTTACCGCTACTATTGTTATTATACATACCCATAGGCTCCTTAGTAGTTCCTTTTTGAGATTACCTTATAGGATTCTAAATATGAGCCCTAAAAAAGGAACTACTTAGGAGCCTATGGGTAATGGGTACCTTGGCCATGGCAGGTCACGGAAATCCCTAGTTTCTTACCTGGGCCTCCAATGCGACCAAGGTCGCCACAGATCCATCCTCCAGGATGGCAGCAAAAGCATTGTATGCAGCCTGGATCTGCTGGACGTTCTTCCTTAGACTGCTTTGGGTTAGGCTTTTTAGGCTGCGGGCATACTGGTGTTGTGCAGCGTTCCTGGCTGCTTAGGACTGCATGGGTTTCAAGGTTCGGTTTCCGTACTGCTTCTTAACAGTTACGTAAAAAGAACTCGAAACGTGACCCTCGACCCTAATCCCTAAACAGAAAAACCCAAAAATTGCTCTCTGAAACACACACCAGCTTCAGGTCATCTGGCACAGGCTCCGAGATAAAGCTGGTGGTGCCCCAAGTGACGACGGACCCATCACCTTGCTTGGTCTGTTTAAGGCTTTGGGTTTAGGGATTAGTGAGTACGGTTTAGGGTTTGGGGGTTATATTGACTGACCACCCTAGACCCGGAGTGTCGAAGCTTCAAGATATCGCAGGTGCGTCGCCAAGAATTGCAGCGAAGGCATCGCCACTGGCTTGAATCTGCTGCACGTCCTTCAGCTTGTGCTGAACAGCACTGCAGTCGCCACCTGAGCTCGCCTGGGTCTCTCTCTCTCTCTCTCTCTCTCTCTCTCTCTTTCTCAAGGCTTCGGGAGGTTAGGGTTTGGGGTAAAGTTTGCTGCGGTACTTTACTTCCTTCAGGCTATAACTTGAGAAAGAATTCTCAGCTATATCACATTCATCAGGCCCTAATAGGGTTTTGGGGGTTGCTTGTTATAATTATAGTATAATATACCCCAAACCCTATTCTAATTATTAAGGCACCTATACTAGGCAACTCTTATGAAGGACTTGGGCCATGGGTTTAGGGGCTTTGGGTTTAGCTAGGCTACGCTAGCAGCTACCGCGATCGGGGTTAACATTCAGGGCAGAATGTACTAGAACATTAGGGCTTGGGCTGTATGTGATGGATCTTGAAATCTTCGGAGCAAGCTTCAAGATGCGAACAACGGCCAAGTTAAGGCACGTGGCATCACCCCAGGCAACCACCGATCTATCGGCAAGGATTGCCGCGAAGGCCATTCCGGTAGCCTGAATGTGCTGCACGCCACAGAGACGAGGCTGCACAGAGTTGCAATCGCCACCACCTTAGGCAATCGACTCCTTAAGCAAGGTAGCAGATCTGAATCAGCATATTAACTCCCCTGTATATCTCGATATAATTTCTTAAAGGGAATATTTCCGTAATTACAAGGTACGGTGTCGATCTGATCTGCAGAAAAAAGGCCTCTCAGCCCTCAATCCCTGAATCCACTTCCCTTGATTTAGGGGTATACAGCTCGAGATCTTCGCTTGAAGATTTAGGTGGGTAGCTCTCTAAATTAGGGTCCCTTTTTCGATCCCCACTATAGTACGGCACTCTTACACAAAGGACCCTGAAAGGGGCCCGAATATAGAGAACTACCTAGGTGCACGAGTTCGAGCCTCGAGAAGCCTGAACACCAAAACGGCTCTGGGTTAAAAGTCGACGCCCCCGTACGCGTATATACAATGTAATTAACAGTTGCAATAACATAACTAATTATAACAGTGTTAACAATATTACTAACAGTACACACGGCAATGGTAATAAAGGCAAGAACAATAAGAATAATAATCACGCTATCAAAAAAGTAGTCATAGAAACAACAACAATAACAATACTGGGCCACGCAGCTAACGATACGAATACCAAGGACAACAACAATAACAACAGCACTAGTGATAATTTGCTGCATCACCAACAATCCTGAACACAGTCATAATCATGAAGCAGTAACAAACAGTAGTGTCAAAACAGCGACAACATGAATAATAATAATAAGAAGAAACATATATGACAATAATCATAGTCTTTAAACAGTATTAAGTAAATTAAGAGCAATAAGAAACAATAACGTCAACAAAGCGACAACATTACTATTGACAATAAGAATAAGAAGACACATGTCATTACTACTCCCCATCATCAAAAGAATCATGAACATCATGAAAAAATGGCAATGCCATGATGATAACGCGAATAAGAGTAACAGCATCGTGGATGATCATAACAATGTTATTCATAATAACAATAACACTAGCTAATGCTATCATCACACAGCAATAGCAACAGTTTATATTATAATATCTTGGTATCATAATATAAGATATGTAAAGTTTAATACACCCTATAGTACAATACATTGTCATTGTTTAATGTCTGATGATGATGATATATATATATAACATAAACAATCTGGCACAACAGATACATAATTTACAGCGTGATATAATACGTATACATATACATATATATATATATATATATTCTTGTACAGCTGTGTATGTCTGTATATATATATATATATATCAGACTAACGCTTCATATCTAACATATAAAAAGACATGTTACATACATGCATACATACATACATACATACATACATACAAACATACAAACATACATACATACATACATACATACATGCATACATACATACATACATACATACACGCACGTAATATACAATCCATAAAAACACAATATACAATAGTAGAAAGTAGCGATCAACCGTATACATTTACATATATATATATGCACCAATATATGTATGTATATATGCACATCATGTAAATAAATAAATATAGATATATATATATATAGAGAGAGAGAGAAATACATACATATATCTATATACATATATATATAACAGCAATAGTTAGTGTGTGTATACATGCACACATGTGTATACATGTTTGTGTATGTATATGTATGTATGTATGTGCATATATATATATACACGGACAGCATTCTTCATCTCGTGATTTGCATTTTGTGAATCGTCGTTCTTGTTGCAGTATGTTGAACTACAGCCTAAACTCTAAACCTTAGACTCAAGTCATAGAGCCAAGCAGCACCAGGGAGCTCCCCAGGTCACTACCGATCCATCCCTTCGGAGGGCTGCAAAAGCACCGCCAGAGGCTTGGATCTTCTCCGCACTCCTGGGTTCCCCCTAAGGGAAGTAGAGGGTTCAGATTTTAGCATTTAAAATTAGGCTCTGGGGATTTAAGGCTTTCGGACTAACTAGGGTTTATGGCTTCAGGGCTTAGGGCCCCAGCTCTTCCACCATGGGCTTTAAAGCTTCAAAACTGACGTGCTAGATTGTATAGGGTCACCCTACCTCAAAAAGAGCTAAAAGGTCACCCAGCAGAACAACTCAGATTCTTCAGCTGGTCATGAACACTGCTGCTGTCCCCGCCACCAGTTGCATCACCCCAGGTCACCACCGATCCGTCACTCAGAAGCGCGGCAAAGGAAGCGTTCGACGCTTGGATGTGCTCTACTTTTTGCAGCTTGTGCTGGACAGCGCTGCTATCACCCCCACAGCGCTTGTCACCCCAGGTCACGACGGAGCTATCGGCGAGAAGAGCTGCAAACGCGCTGTGAGAGCCTTGAATCTTCCGAACGTTCTTCAGCTGATCTGTAAGAAAGCTACAGTCGCCTCCGCTGTCGGCTTCCCCCCAGGCTAATAACGATCCGTCGCTCAAGATGGAAGCTGCAGCTGGTAGACCTCGTGACATGAAGACCTCTATCTGCCCGATATGAAATGTCAGTACATCGCCATCCTTCAAAGAGCAATCCTCGACAGTGGATGCTCCATGTAGCAGCTTCCCTTCAGCATTCAGAAAGCTTCCCCTCCTTGAAGCCAGCGCAACCTGTGCGCGCTCGCTCAATGACTGTAGTGACTCTCCCAGCTCAGCATCCAAGCAAATGGTTCTTCCACTTAGCAGGCTAACCTGGAGAGATATGGACATGGGCGATGGATTTGGACGCAGAGGCTTGGTCAGCGTCGGTTCTAGCCTACTCTAGCTTGGCCGAAGATACGTATAACTAGGCCTACTTATGTCGTAAAGTTACCCGTACTTGCTGTACTTGTGCCTCGACACAATTCTCCTGCTCTCGCTCTCTCTCTCTCTCGCTCTCGGTCGTCCAAGTTTTCAAAGAATAGAATAGGGTTTTGGACTCTTTTATAGTATACTTATAATAGTAGTATAACTATAACAAGGACACCCCCCCCCAAAAAAAAAAATAGTATTGGTAACCTAGGAATGCAAGTGCATCCTCAGGGGCGGGGCGGGCGGGAGGTAAAGCCTGAGCAAAGCGATTGCACAGAACATCCGAGGCACTAACTACTGTTCGGTTTTATATTCGGTTGGCCGTTTAAAGCCTCGCAAAAAATACTAATAAATTAGATCCGCTTCTCAAAGCTGAGCTCAAATTCGCTGAAACCCCAGGCATGTGCCCTCATGTGCGGCCCTTGACAAATAGAAGAGGGTTTTTGGGCTCCTTTGTAGCATAACAGTATAACTATAATAAGGACCCCCCAAAAATAGTACTGGCAATTATTTGGGCCCTGTATGACTCATGCCGCAGCCTTAGGCTTGAGCCGAAGATGCAGCAGATATGGGTAGTTCTCTAAATTAGGGTGCGTTTTTGGGTCCCTAATATACTACGGCACGCTGAAAAAGGACCCTAAATGGGACCCTATTTGAAGAACGGTCCTTTTTACAAGGGCGCCGTACTGTTTTAAGGACCTAGAAAAACCTCACTTTCCATATGTTGAGGCAAGAGCTATAGCCCTAAGGGTCCAGATACCAAATAGGGACTTCTTTAAGGCCAGCGCATATACTATTTGGGTTTTTATAGGGACCATTAGGCTAGAGTTCACGAGATTCCTTAAGTTCATGCCCAAGACAGGGCCCATTGTTGCATGTTGTTGCTGCAGGTGGTGATGGCTTTGAACCTACACGCATCGGGTCATGGGGACATCATGTGGAGGAGTAAGCCATTCTGCAGGAAAACAAACCATCCGGGAAAGGATCACCCCGAGTATATCCGTTTACAGCTGTCAGCGCTGCGTGATCCTTGGTACTGTTTACGGCTCTTTTTGTCAGTGCCCCTCTTCCCGGGTTTAACGCAAGAGCTCCAGAGCAAAAAAGAAGGCTCTAGTAGGTGAGTGTGCGGATAAGCTCTCTAAGCGCATGACTTTCCGTAGCTCCCTCGCAGCTTGTCTGGGTTCAAGATCTTGTACCTGGCTCGCAGGATTTGGCCGGACAACCTAAGTCAACCTTACTGTCCTGTTCAGGGTTTGGAGCTCACCGACACCCAACATGCTGATAAATCATCGATTTCCTTCAGGCACTCTAAACCGCCGACACCTCAACCTAAACCGTTGGACACGGCACTTTGCCCTAAACCCTAAACCCTAATTTAAACCCTAAGCCCTAAACCCTAAGGGGGGATCTTCGTGATCCCAGGCCAAAAAAGATCAGCCATCCCCGGCCCTGCACCCCAAACCCCACCCGAAGCGGTAGGACCGAAGACCCTAAGCACCCTCGAACTGAGATACTTGGAGGTTCATGGGTAGTTTAAATGGGGTTATAATTAGGGTACCTATAATGATAACCCATGTTAAGGGACTTATAACCCTACTCGTAACTACCCATGAACCTCCAAGTAGCCATCTTTATCCTCATCCTCATCTCAAAGCCCTAGACCGACTAGATCCGAACCCTCCCGGCCCCATGTGATCCGGGTGAATCACGAAACCTCTCGGCCATTTTCCGAGAGGGTTGGGGGTGGGGTTCTAAGGTTTGGGTTTGGGATGGCTTGGGGTTTACTGTACGTCTATGAACTCTATGGTGTCCCTAAACCCTGAAGCCCTAAACCGCAAACCCCAACCCATGAACCCCAAACCACACACACTACCCTAAACCTGGTCTAATCCCGGTACCTTTGGGATTCTAGTGTTGCGTGCCCCTGATCCCAAGACTTCAGGTCCCTAAACCTTCAGACCTACAGTACCTGGAGGTTCATGGGTGATATAAGTCGGGATATGGGTTCCAGGGTTTAAGGTATAGGGTTTAGGGCTTGGGAATATGAGGCCCGCAATATGTGTTAAAACTCGCGTTCTCCTATATACACCCTAAACCTCTGAACCCTCAACCTAAAGGAAGCCTGTAATAACTTAAAGCCTTAACAGGAACCCTTACGAGGCCCTCAGCCCCGCTGGAACCCATCATGCCCACTCCTCCGTCTCTGTTTCTCTCTTCTTTTGTATCTCTGCTACTCGCCAGCCCTCCGTCTCTTTGTCTGTCCTTCTTGCCGACCATCCATCGCTCTCTCCCTCTCTCTACTTCTCTCAGTCTCAAATTTGCCATCATACAGAAGCCTGCAAATGATCCCCTAAGTTAGGTGCCGTATGACTCAGCTTATCACTGGCATACAAAATAGTGCGGCCACACTAAGGAAGCTAGAGAAACAACTTCAAAGATCAATACAGACCCGTGGAAAAAAGGGCTGTGCTCCTTGCTATACCTTTCCTCAGGCCCGCAGCTACCGATAGTGACTACAAGGGACAATGGCACTGGTAGGCAAACTGAGGATTGCTATTCTACCACCATAGTCAAAGTGTCGGGGCCTAACCCTATAAATTCTAGGTTATAAACTCGTAACATCCCGAAACTGTTCAACTTCAAGCCCCTAAACCCTAAACCTAAGCTCTGAACCCTACACCCTAAACCTAAGCTCTGAACCCTAAACCCTAAACCTAAGCTCTGAACCCTAAACCCTAAACCTAAAACCAGAATGTTTCCTAAGGCAGTAAACACAAGGCCTGTTTGGTCTCTGCGCTTTGTGCCCCACGGTGAGACTTTTCTTCCAAGGTTGCATCCAGGGCTTCGGATTCGAAAGCGCTTAGGGTTTGGGGTTTAGGGTTTAGGGTTGATTTAGGGTTTAGGGTTAAGGCTTAGAGTTTAGGATTGAGGGCTTCTATAGGCCCTAGAGGATAGAATCTTAGAACTTAGGGCTTATAGGTTTGTGCCTTTTGCCTGTATCTATTGGCTTCTGGGGTTTACAGGCTTGTGGCTTTTGGTTTAGTCTTTCGTTGTCCATAAGGTCCCTACGATTCCCAATACGCAAAAACAGCAAAGCCTGCCATAGAAGCCCAGATACGTATTGCTAAAATCAAGTCACAGCGGAGAAAAGTACTAGAAGGGCTCGAGCCACGTGAAACGTATTGGCCAGGCTCCATGTACCCAAAAGGTATATACTCAGGCCTTAAAGGGGTTCCTATAAACCCTAAACCCCCAAACTCTAAACCCCTAAATCCTAAACCCCTGGGCATATGTAATATTATATATATATATATGTATATATATATATGTATATATATATATGTGTGTGTGTGTAAATAGGTACATGGAGCCCCGGGGTTCGCCAAAGTTTCAGGAGGTCTGGATCATCTCCAGCACTTGCCTTCAAATCGGGGCTTGGAGGCTCCGGGTCTAAGTGAAGGGCCAGCTGTTTCGGGTTTAGGGTTTAGGGTTTAAGGTTTGGGGTTTAGGGTTTAAGGTTTCGGGTTTAGGGTTTCGGGTTTAGGGCTTCGGGTTTAGGGTTTCGGGTTCGGGTTACGGGTTTCGGGTTTTGAACACATGTAAGGACCCAACTCTCCTGTCGGACTTCCACAATAAGATGAGGCATGCGGAGTGAGGCAAGCGTTTAGGGTCTAGGGAACTACGGTTGATGATATAAATCCTGCATTATCCATAATAAAGAATATACCCATGGTTTTAGGTCCTTATAAGGTAATGCAGAATTTGTATATCATCAACAGTAGAAAAGGGATGTGTTTAAGGACCTGAATCAGGGGGTTTACCTTGGGGGTCTTGGTAGTAGTCAATAGTAGTCCGTCCAGACTTGAAGCGTTATACAGGGGCCTTTACATTTAGAATAGGGCTTCTGGGGTATAGTCTTGTATTAACTGTACGGTATATGCAGCCCTAAACGGCAATGTTAGGGTTTAGGGGTGTGCACTTGGATGTTTGAATGCCGGAGTCAGTCCAGAACCCTGCTCCGTGAGCAAGGACCCTTCATGTTGAAAGCCGTGCACAAGTGAACCTTTCAGCCCTAAGCATCAACCCGTAACCCCATGGCTCTGCGTTGCCAGAACTGGTCACGAGTGTTGTTTGGTGCGCGACTGTTTTTTTGGCAAAACCACTAAAGCCTAAACCCTAAACCCCTTATATAACCCTAAACCCTAAACTCTAAACCCTAAACCTCTTATATGACCCTAAACTCTAAACCCTAAAGCCTAAACCCTAAACCCCTCAACCGTTCGGACGACCGGAGGCCTGGTTTGTGCAGCATGGCGGCATAACATTGGGCTCATGAGGTGACGGGTGCTTTTAACCCTTAACCGGGACCCTAATACCAGGCTTTGCGACTTGGCTTTTGTAGGCTGAAAGCATTGCATCGCCTTCCGTGCTCTTGTAGCAAGATGAAGCCTAACCACTATTCGTTTAGGGTTTACTTGCAGCTTTTTGGCTCAGGATATCGGAGTCTCCCAAGGAATGGACACTCTTCGAATGAAGTATAGACCCTATACAGTACGTTCCTTGTTCTCAAGACTCAGGACCCTGAAATGAGGCCAAAGGTCGCCCCTGAATTTCAGACAACTCCAGATCGCTGTCACGATGCTTGGGTGCCCGGGTTATCCTGAAGGACGCCACGTCGATGCACACGCAGGTCACCACAGCGCGCGCGACTGTGATGCCGGAACCTTCACCACTAACACCCCTAGTTACAAACCCCTATAGACAAGTCCCTACATGTTGAAATTCTCAGGATCCGCATCTACGATTGTGTGGGTTTTGCACATCGAATCATCAAATAATATACATGAATCAAGAGCTCGCCTTCTTGCGACCCTGCAAAGGCCACCAGCCGCTCATCGCAGAACAGCTTACTCCGAGAA